TTTAAAATTGTTATTTGTATTATGCCAGAATCTTGGCCTAGACCTATAAGGAAAATGAAATGGAAGTTTCTTTTTCAATAAGCTACAGTTTAGTAAATTGTAGAATGCTAAGAGTCAAATTAGTGAATTCATAAGGTAATAAATATAGAAAATTAGCTAAGTTTTTAACCACTAGAAATTGAGAAAGTCAAAAAAAAAAGATTAATATAAGGAAAGCAGCTTGAGCTATATATTGGCTTTCCTCTCGTCAGAATCCTGTCCTGTTTCAAAGGGGGCACTGCATTTTGAACACATAAAAAGGTATGCAAAAAAAAATGAGCTAGGTGCAGTGATGCACACCCACAGACCCAGTGACTCAAGAGGTTGAAGTAGAAGGGGCACTGGAGCCCAGACTGAAGGATCAAATGAGACCAGCCTGAATATCACAGAGAGAAAATAAAATAAGAACTCTGAGGCCTATATGCTGTAATTTAAATATTTTTGTGATTTTTATCTACAAACCAACTTTTGAACTCTGTTCCTATTTTCTTAGGGACTGACAATGTTACATCTTGCAATCCATTAAATGCATCCCATTCTCTGAATTCTAAATGCCCGTCCTTCCTTATTGTAGTCTGTTTGAAGTCCTACTTTAAGTACTAGGGCCAAAGCAATCTTTTCCCTTACCACCTTATTTTGCCCACTTTTTGGAGTCATTCTCCTCACTTGCAATCTACTCATATATTTCTCATTATCTATTTAATTACTTGCCACATTCTGGCTTTTCCCAGATCCTGGTATGTAGGTGACCAAGACTGACAACCTTTAACTTGTGGACTATATAGTGTTTATCCATATATTGCCTGAAAGCTTAAAACAGTTGTAGAATAAATTACTTTGAGTATCAGTATCATGATGAATGAATGAACCAATGATGAATGAATAAATGTGTGAATGTAAGTTATTTAGATCAGCTGTAAGATCTATCCTGGTTTTTCAACCTTAAAAAGACTTCAGGGTAAAAATCTAATAGTCCCACAAGTAGAAGTACTCGTATGTACTTTGAATTTTACTGCATGAGCTTGTGAGTTTGTCAGTGTGAGGTAGGAGTCTGTACTCCACAGATCAATCTTTGCCTGTTATTTGCAAAATTAACTTTTCCTCTTCATTCTCTGGCTTCAACATATCCAGTTTTTTTGTGGGGGGCAGGCACAGGCAGTAGTGATATCTTCTGGTTTACAATATTCTTAAACTTCAGGGCAAGAATACACATGATGTGCATTCATTTATCCATAGGTTATCAATTCAGTGGCTAAATCTTTTTTCTCTTCATGATTTATTTTTTCATCAAGGTTTAAGTAGTAAATGATATGCTTTGAAAGGGTAATTTCATTAAGAGTGTACAACCTATCACTTGGTACAATTAATTCTTTAACAAAAAAAATGTCTTAGTGATCTAGCATATGCCAGGCAATATGCTCTGCTGTTGAATAAAATGTCTGGGAAGCTATTGATTTGGATTGAGGACGTATATTAGGCCCAATAGGTCAACATCAAATGGAGTCACTTATACTAAGTTTCCATGTTCTTAAACCAAAACCTAAACTGTTTACTTGTAAGAGTTGACTTCTGAGAAATCATAAAGGGAAAGGATAATCAAATCCCCATGCAGGCCAGTTTTCTGAAAACAATAGATTCACAGCAACCTATCACAAGAGGCCCCATCAACCTGAGCAGCAGGGTAAGGAAGTCCTCTTTGCTTTAACCTAAATAAGGAAAATAATCTTAAGGAACATGATTTCAACCAGTCTGCTTTTTGCACTATACTAATTTCTTGTTCCTGTTTAAGAACCAATGGTACTGCCACCCCCAGTAAGGCACCTGTCTGTTTTTGTTTGTTGTTTGTTTGTTTTGTTTTGTTTTTTACGCTTGATACTCCCCAGATCATGAATTACTAGTAAAAGCCAACTGTATCTTTAAAGCTCAACTTGTTGAAATTGTGTCCTTTGACAGTGCTAAACCCTAGAGAGATACAAATGAATACAGAAGAGGTCACAATATTTTAATAAGGTGAATTGAAATGTAAAACATCTTTGCAATAAATATAACAAATTCATTAACAAAGAGAAGAAGGGAATTGCCGACCAGGGCATGTGTAACTCTATTTACTCATCAATGACTAGAGAGGTGAAAAAAGAATTATCAGCATTCCAACTTCTCTCCTCCAGACCTATCACAGCAACTGGATGTCTTGGCAGCTCCTAAAGGAGTTAAGGATGATGATATCCATATAAATAGTGATAATGCATTCCTTTTGAGTAAATTTCTTGTCAAATTAGTTTCCCCTTTTGTACTTCAAGAAAGACTGCAGCAGTGAGCAGTAGCACGCAGAGATGCTTGGAGTGTACTTGGACCCTACTCAGAATCAAGTGGTTCTGAAGGAACATAGAGCACCTAAGTAAAATTAAAATTAGCAATTAGAGAGAATGGTGTGCCACCCCAAGAAGATGGTAACTGCCAGGATAAGTCTAGGGAGCAAATGCAAACTCCAAATAGTTTCCCCAAGTCCAAGGGAAATATTGTGTAATTATTTTGTTTACTTAACACTTCCATCTCAATCATCAGCATTCAGACATTTGGGAGATACTTCCCTGACACTGTCCATCTACACACATAAGCACACACACTCATAAAAATCCAACTCAGGCTTTTGAGTGTTCTAAGATGCAAACTCACAAAAGCCACTAACAAAAGCTGAAAGTCAGGAGCATTAGAATATTGCAAAATTTAATCATTTTTAATCAGATTTTATGGAATTTAGGATTTCAGGGAAAGGTTCTTGGGTAGAGGGTCTTAGAATTTCAAAAATGCAATAGACTAAGAGAGCTATAGCTAGGAAAGTCTCCCCACTTTTCGCTCGTGCTGGCGTGTGTGTGTGTGTGTTTGGGGGAGTTCCTTTCATATTAATAGAAAAAAAAATCTATTGACTTCCAGGGAGGAATACGAATAGATAACATTAACAATTGAAAAGCAGTTCAGTTCACTAGCTAAAACTCCCTCTCACTTTACCCACTTACATTAGGAAATCCATTAATGTATGTACTGTGAAGACATTTCCATGTATTATTTTCTCTTAACCAATATCAAATTAAGTGTGCTGGCGAAACAACAGGAACAAGGACACAGCTGGCATGACAATTCCTGTGCTTTACCACCAAATCAGAATGGCTGACATGGAAAACAGAGTAACAGATGGTGGGACCAATAGCTAGAGAAGCATGCAATTTGCTCAAGGTCATAAGAATTTTAGCAGAATTAGAAACAAAACCCAGGAAGACCTTGAAGCCAAATGCTATTGTTCATATGTATTCTTTCATAGAACACTAAAGTTTCAATTAAAAATCAGGGAGTAATTACAATATAGCTATAGGTTCTTTTAGATGCAATGATGGAAATGATAGTTTTGGACAGGGAAGATGAACAGCTCATATTGCCTGCCTCTGCTCTGTGGAGCATAAAGGCCACACTGGAACCTGAGACTGGAACAAATGCTTGGTATCTCTATATGACAGTTAAGCCATTGACTTGTGTTATTTAGGCATTTGATATATGAATGTGTGTACATCAAGTTCAGGTAGGTTGACATTTTAGGTGAATTTCCCTGACATCAGTGTGTAGGATAAATTGAACTGTCTGGAAGGGGGAAAGGGCAGGAGCTTGTGATCAGGGTGGATAAGTTATGGAACTGTTTCAGTTATTGACATCAAATATAAGAAGAGGAAGAACTGAAACTAGGACATGGAGGTGGTGACATTCCCGCAGATTGAGAGTCATGCTGACTTTCTTTCTTGAGAATGAGGGTGGTGTCTTTAGAAATACCCCAGGTTGAGACCCAAGCAAGATTATGTTGGAAACATCCAGGAGGAAGTGAGATTCATTTCTATAGCTCAGAGGCAAAATTAAGTCCAGATTCATAAACTGGACAAGGTTACCTATATAAAGGTGACAGAGAGATCCATAGTCGTGAGCGAATTTGCAATGAAAGGGTCAAGAAAATTTGTAATAGAATCACTGGGAAAAGTTTCATTTAAAATCAGATAGTAGGTTCACAAAATCTTAAAATATTATAAACTAGACTCCAGTACAATGTGAAACTCCTGCTTTTTAAAAGATTATTAAGAAAGGCCACAGACTAGGGGAAAACATTTGCAAACTATTTATATGATCCTAAGACTTCTGTATTTTAGAAGCTGTTTCAGAGAAATGTGAAGATCTTAAAGCTTTAGAAGAATTCAAAACAGAAGCAGGACTTTGGGCATCTGAAAAATATTCTTTCATGATCCTCTATGCTACCATAATTGTCAGCAAAAATATTTATCGTGTATCTCTTTCATGCTTGACAGGGTCCTGATGTTCTAGCTTGTTTCTAATAACTGAGTGTAAACAAGGATGATCCGTGTTCAAACATGACAATGACCTAATTCAATTACCTCCCAATATTGGAACTACAACTGTCAAGTGAGCCAAAAGAATCCCTGTTAGCTAGGTATTATTTCAACAACTCTGAAGACTCATCCTTAAGTGCCCTGAATTACTGGGTGTTTTTTTTTTTTTTGTTGTTGTTATTGTTTTTGTTTCTTTGTCTTGCCTTACAAAACAGTGGCATCCCTTCTGACGAATGACAACTGTGCGGAAGAACTGTGATAAACAGCAAGGATACACATAGCGGAAATTCTTCCTAATTAATTGGCTGGTTAAAAAAGAAAATAGTGTCTTTGTAGCTCTAGCGACTGAAGCCTGCCAGTGAGACAGCATCTCCCATTAACTCGCGGATTCACTTCTTTTCTAGCAGCGCAGCCAGGAAGGTACTTATATACATGTGCATCTAACACGTGCGTCTGTGCAGGGGAGGAAAGGAGAGAGTGCAGGAACAAGAAAGGAGAGAGTGAGGACGGAAGAGGGAGAAAAATAAGAGGAAGGGGGGGAAAATACAGAGAGAGCGCGCCAGAGAGATCGTGGGAGACGTGAAAGAGTGAAGGATCAGAAGGAGGGGGATGTAAAAGCCAGGTTTTTATTGGAAGCAATTGAAGTGGTTGCTATGAGACCCGCAACAGCAGAGGACCAGCAGCCAGACTGATGCTGATGGTTCTTAGCTCGTACTAAACCTTTCCTCTGACACAGTTTTAGAGTTGTTTAATATCTGAGCAAGCACCTGACACGGGTGACTTTTTCCTTCCTTTTTTTTTTCCCTCCTCCAGTTCCTCGGGTAAGATGGAGGTAGAAAATGAAGCCAGCTGTTCCCAGGGCAGCGCGACAGGCGGGTCCAGAGAGTACAAGGTGGTAATGCTGGGAGCAGGGGGAGTTGGTAAAAGCGGTAAGTTTTAACACCAAATGCTGGGGAAGGAGGGACCTCTATGCAGGAAACTCTACAGTGGAAAATAATGATAGTAATGCTGGTGCTGTTAGGGTCTGGCTGCGGCAGGGAGCTTCTGGCAGGATGTTTAGAAGTGTAAAGATTGTTAACGGGATGCTGATGAGTCAGGAGATTGGAGAGACAGTCATGATATGTAGAACTTTAAGATGATGATTTTCTCCTTTTATCTCATGCGGGTGATATTTGCTCTTAATTTACATGGTTTTTAAAAATTAATAGTGATAATAAATATTCGTGGTCTGGGAAAAAATCTGCTCCTATTCTAAAAAAAAAAAAAAAAGAAAAATAAAAAGTAGGAAAAAAAGAAAAGATATTCACATCAGGAAAGGAATGCTGTAAATATTCAACTAATCACACAGATAGATAGAGACACTGGCTAGGGATTCTCATGGATGACTGTGGTATTTCTTTCACTAGGCGCTTCCCAGTGTCCTTTTCCTAGTTGGGGTCTGACATAGCAAGTGTGGGTTGTGAACCAAGAGGGAAGTTGGTGTTTTGAAAGTAACTGTGGTTTAAAGAATAGTGGGACACATACAGGGTGAGCCAACCAGGCATTTTAGTCAATGGAACTAAAAGGACAAGCTACAAGAATTAAAGGATGTGGGATGGTAATGAGGTGATGACAAGACTGGGTAATTTATTTTTGATACATAAAGATCAGGAGTCATCAGGGCTTTGGTTTCATGAGGAGCTTAAAAGACCAAGTATTACAAATTAAAGAAAGAGATATTCAGTAATGTTTGAGGATGAATATATGTTAGATAATTTGGGCCTATGGATATCATTAGAACATAAAGATATATAGTTATTTATATAAACATAAGATTTCCTACTGAGAATACATGTTTGGACATGTCAAAGGGCAAAAGAAAAGTGAGGTTAGCATGGACAAACTCTATCAAAACTATTCAATACTTAACTGCTTGATGAAAAGATTCAAAGTTAAGGAAAATACTCTTGCAGAAGAAATCCCAAAGCTAATAATTTTGATGGTGGTTCCACAAGGAGTAAGAAAGTTTAGCAATGAGGAAATGAGGGAAAGACAGTAACTTTAGTGGACAGAAAAGGCAGAGAAAAAATTATCAAGAGACAAGGAATTGAGCCACCCCAATGCTCCCCTGCTGCACCCAAAGGAATTATCATATAAAGGAAAAGAAAAGAAAAAAAAGGCAGATTTGGATGTGATAGGAGCTAAGAGGTTGCCTAAGTGAGAAAAATTATTTATCTCTTCTAGGAAAGAAATGTGAAATGAAAGGCTTTGTAACAATATATGAACAAGAAATGAAAAAAAAAAACTTTCTTTGTTAATATAATGGCTTGGGAGGAAATAAATCAAAATAGATGATGATTGGGGGGGGAGGAAGTAAGCAGGAAGGATAAGGGAAAAGAATCTATGAAAATGAAGTTATGCTTTAAAAACAGGTCATCAGATACAATGAGAAAGAAGTTATTGCGGGGGCTGGGGCTGGGGCTCAGTGGTAGGGCACCCGGTCTGGCATGTGTAAGGCAGTGGGTTCCATCCTCAGCACCACATATAAATAAATAAATAAATAAATAAATAAATAAATAAATAAATAAAGGTATTGTGTCCATCTACAATTAAAAATATATATTTATAAAAGGAAGTTATGTGGGAATAAAATCTGAGAAAAGAAACAGATTAAGGGAAAAAAAAAGTCTAGAGGCCATCAACAAAACCTATGGCCAGAGCTGGTGAGATGAGAGAGTCTACAATAGCTTATGTGCCAATGGGTCCCCTTTGCCTGCTAGCAGAGTGTTTTCTTATTTTACCAGGAGGTGGGGGATGTGGGAACTGAGTGATTGTCTTTACACACCTCATTTTATTCCAAGGATGCAGATTTGGAAAGTGAAGGTGTTGCCTAGGAGCATCCTCCAGCAAGACCCTTATGCTGTGATATTAGGAAGTTAGAATACTGATATTATGTCTTCTGTTTTGACCTCACCCAATATTATTTGTGATGACTACTCATTGTTACCATTGCAATATCTAAATATTTTCAAGATAACACAATGGTTGGAGGAGTGGCTTGGGTTACTTTCACCTTTACTTTATATAAAAGAAACCAGTTCCTAATTAAATACTTGAATAAAACTCTACTTTTCCTCTGGGAGAAGGACAACTGTAACCAGCTCACCCTCAGAAAAGGTTAAGAATAAAAGATGGTAAATAGTTTGGTTGTACTGATTATATAAATGGCATCCTTGGCTATTTCTCCAGAGAATTTTATTCATATTACAATTTCACTCCTAGAAAATACTGTCCTTAGGGCCAAGTGTTTCACTGTGATAGAATCACATCTTGCCCTTGGACTTTATTCTTATGATTTATATGGTGTTATCAGTATGTAAATATTCAGGCACTGACCTCAATACTAACCTTTTCTTGAAGGTTAAAGTATTTGATTTCAAGTCAACTAAAATATTTTTTTAAAAGGCACTTTTCTATGAAGAATGTCATTGGGATTTTAATAGAAATCGAATTAAATTTGTATAATGCTTTTTGTATTATGACCATTTTGACAATATCAATTCTGTCTATTCAGGAGCATGGGAGATTTTTACATCTTCTGAGGTTTTCTTCAATTTATTTCTTAGTGTTCTGTAGTTTTCATTGTAAAGGTCTTTCACCTTTTTTGTTATATTGATTCCTAGGTATTTTGTTTCACTTGAGGCTATTGTGAATGGAGTAGTTTTTCTAATTTGTCTTTCAGTGGATTCATTGCTGATGTTTAGGAATGCGTTTGATTTATGGGTGTTGATTATTTATCCTGCTACTTTGCTGAATTAATTTATTAGTTCTAAAAGTTTTCTGATGGAATTGTTTGGATCTTTTAGATATAGAATCATGTCATTGGCAAATGGTGATGGTTTGAGTTCTTCTTTACCTATTCGTATCCCTTTAATTTCTTTCTTCTGTCTAATTACTCTGGCTAGAGTTTCAAGGATGTTGAATAGAAGTGGTAAAAGAGAAGACACTTGCCTTGTTCCAGGTTATAGAGGGAATACTTTTAATTTTTCTCCATTTAAAATGATGACAGTCTTGGGTTTAGCATATATAACTTTTACAATGTTGAGGTATGTTCCTACTATCCCTAGTTTTTCTAGCATTTTATTTTATTTATTTATTTTAAGAGAGAGAGAGAGAGAGATAGAGAGAGAGAGAGAGAGAGAGAGAATTTTTTAATATTTATTTATTTTTTTTAGTTATTGGCGGACACAACATCTTTGTATGTGGTGCTGAGGATCGAACCCGGGCCGCACTCATGCCAGGCGAGCGCGCTACTGCTTGAGCCACATCCCCAGCCCTTTTCTAGTATTTTAAACATGAAGCTATGCTGTATTTTGTCAAATCCTTTTTCTGCATCTATTGAGATGATCATATGATTTTTTTAAAGTCTATTAATATGATAAATTATGTTTATTGATTTCTGTATGTTGAACCAACTCTGCATCCCTGGGATGAACCCCACTTAGAAATAGAAAATAGAAATAGAAAAAGCAATCATGAAATTTATTTGGAAAAGTAAGAGACCCACAATAGCCAAAGCAATCCTTAGCAAGAAAGGTGAAGCAGGAGGTATCACAATACCAGATCTTAAACTATACTACAGAGCTATAGTCACAAAAAACAGCATGGTATTGGCACCAAAATAGTCTTGTAGACCAGTTGTACAGAATAGAGGATACAGAGACAAACCCACATAAATATGGTTATCTCATACTAGACAAAGGTATCAAAAACATCACTGAATAAAAGATAGCCTACAGAACAAATTATGCTGGTAAAACTGGAAATTTATATGTAGCAAAATGAAATTTAACCTCTCCCTCTCACCCTGCCCCAAAATCAACTCAAAATGTATCAAAGACTTAGGCACTAGAACAGCAACCCTGTACCTAATAGAAGAAAAAGTAGACTCAAATCTTCACCATGTCAGCCTACAATCTGACTTCCTTAACAAGACCCCTAAAGCACAAGAAGTAAAATCAAGAATCAAGAAATGGGATGGATTCAAATTAAAAAGCTACTTCTCGGCAAAGGAAACAATCAATAATGTAAGAAGAGAGCTGACAGATTGGGAGAAAATCTTTACCACATGCATCTCTGATAAAGCATTAATCTCTAGGATATATAAAGAACTCAAAACACTTGACACCAAAAAAATAAATAAAAATAAAAAGCAAAAGTAAAAAACAAATAACCAAATTAATATATGGGTGAGGGTAACTGAACAGATACTTCACAGAAGAAGAAATACAATTGATCAACAAATACATGAAAAAATCTCAGAAATGCAAATCAAAAGTACACTAAGATTTCGTCTCACTCCAGACAGAATGACGATCATCAAGAATACAGGCAACAATAAATGTTGGCAAGGATGTGGGGAAAAAGGCACATTCATACATTGCTGGTAGGACTGCACATTGGTACAACCACTATGGAAAGCAGTAGGGATATTCCTCAGAAAACTTGGAATGGAACAACCATTTGACCCAGCTATTCCTTGGTTTATACCCAAAGTACTTAAAATCAGCATACTACAGTACTGCAGCCACGTCAATGTTTATAGCAGCTCAATTCATAAATGGCTAAACTGTGGAACCAACCTAGGTATCCTTCAATAGGTGAATAGATAAAGCAATGTAATATCTATCTATCTATCTATCTATCTATCTATCCATCTATCTATCTATCCTCTATCTATCTATAGATAGATATATCTGATGGAATATAACTCAGCTTTAAAGAAAAATGAAATTATGGCATTTGCCAGTAAATGGATGGAGCTGGAGAGTATCATGCTAAGTGAAGTAACAATTCCACAAAACCAAAGTCTGAATGTTTTCTCTAAATATGTGGATGCTAATTCACATTAAAGGAGGTGGGGCACTAGAGAAGAATAGAGTTACTTACC